CCAAACTCAAACAAAAACATTGTTTTCAATCGTTATGAGTCTACCGATTGAATAGAATTTTATTATAAACAATTGTCTTGTAAATGGAATTTTTAAAAGCATTTTGAATGTTAAAAATAAAGAAAAAAGTGTGCAAGACAATAAGAAACACTACCTGCCAAAAAAAGTGAAGTTTTGTTGAAATCGGTTGAAAAATGAAGGAAATCCGATCCCATATATAAACGAACACACACACACAAACAACCTGGGTTTTATAATAAGTATAACTTGATATGAGTTGTCCCCCTTTCATTCTGGCAACAGAATCGTGTTTTATCGTGTTTTCAAATTGATTTCATGCAAAAACAATTGTGTTTTTCCAATTTTTGGCGCTGTCAGAAACATTGCAAGGTAATTTTACGCAGTTCTGTGAAGTTTTGTTGAAATTGGGTGAAAAATGTAGGAAATCCAATCCAATATATAAATGTACAGACACACACACACAATCTGTGTTTTATAATAAGTAAGATGTCAACATGTACATTTCTAACTATCCAGTGGGGTTGCTCTCCCACTCCACTGGGAAGCAAGTTCCCAGACACAAAAGTACCACATCTACATTCTATGACAGTTTAGAGTCGACTCCAACAAAAACCTTTCTCTAGCTAATCATTCCTATGCTTGTTCAGCCAATCACAATTAACTTCCTTTGTTTGGTCTCTATATCTGACCTCAAAGGTCAAACTGAGGAAGTCAGAGCAAAATACACTTCTCTAAAAAAATAGTATGCTAAACTATTATTTAACATTATTGAAGGATATAACCTTAACATAAAATACACGGATGACACTGTTAATGGCTTAGAAAGAAGCCTAAAACAACTCTTAGACAAGGCAATAAAGAAAAAAAATATTAACTGTAAAAAGATAGAATGCATAATCATCAGAAAGAGGCAACTTAATGTGTGAGTTATATAATGAGGATATCAGAATCAATCAATTGTACAGAAATTTAACTACCTGGGTTGTATAGTAACAGACAACAGAAATCTGTCAGATGTACAGTAATAGTGAAAAAATTTGAAACTGAGTAAAGTATCATGGGATCAGAAAATGTACTTAGAAACAAAGAAAAAAGTACTGCACTGTTCTGTAATATCTAATCACCTATATGACAGTAAATGTAGCACAATTTGCTGACAAATGAAGAGACTTGAACTGACAGAAATGTGGTTCTACTGACAAATGTTGAAAATACTATGGACAGAGTATGTAAGAAACAAAGAAGCTCTGAGGAGAATAAGAATTACAAAGAAACAGCTGCTAACAATAAAAAAGAAACAGAAATTCTGGGATATATAATGAGGAAAGAAAGCTTGGAGAATTTAACACCCACAGGGCATAATAAAGGTAAGAAGAAAGCATAGGAAACAGCAAGTAACCTACTTGTCAAATCTGGGTAAATGGATGGCAGAACAAGGCCCACAAAGGCCAACAGGAGTGATAAAGAGACAAGAGTTCAACAAAAAAGGAAGTTAGCAGAGAACCATGATTGCCCATGTCCTGAAATGTTTAGTTGATTTTGTTTAGCAGCATATCAACCTCTATGGGTTATTTAGTACTGAAATCTGAATATTTTGAATGCAATTGTATACCCTCAACTACAGATAAAATGTATTGCTGGTAATTCTACTAAAAAATGTATTTTACTATAAATATATCTTTTTCATAAGAAAATGTTTTTTTATACTTTCATAGTGTTTTGTTTCTATTTGGGAGTTCACTATTTGTCCATAGGTGGAACCCTAATACCTTGGGTCAGGGTGGCTAAGAGGCAGTTCCATGCTCCTCAAGACCTCCAATCTCCCAATCAGAGGCCTTGCTGCCATATTAAGCTTATCGTTATACACAGGTCTAAGAAGAATAGAGGGTAGATCAGGCACAAGGTAGAATAATAAAGAGTCAAATGCTTCTTAGAGCTACAAGGGGAGAGGAAACTGAGGAGAGCCATGATTGACCATGTCCTAAAAGGATATGGTACATAAAAGAAGATTCCAAAGGACAGTTTTATGCATTTTAATGAAGATGGTTAATCACTGTTTAAGAATCAGTTAATTATATTTTTAAATCAACAACTTTTATTTTGAAAGGAAAAAGAGAAAATGCAAGTAGATGATCTTTACAATCTGATCCGAAATATTTTCAAATCAAATTTCAAAGGTTTGGAGATTTACCACTTAAAATACCTTGAGAAGATATTTCTATAAATAATAAAAAGAAATAAAAAAATCACATAAGAGATTGGTTTGGTTTATGTTATTTTACGGCATATAAATCTCAATAGGTTATTTAATGCTGACAAGATTTTTAGGACCAGTTCTATGAATAAAATATGTATTGATTACTGGTAAAAAATTTCTTTTCAAAAATGTATTGTTATTATTTTTTTTTTTTTTCAAAAAATATATTGCTAGTATTTTTATACTTTCATAGCTTTGCCCATAGCTGGGACCCTAACAGGTGCTAGTACCCCAGGTCAGGGTGAACCTGGGAACAACAGCAATAGGTGGTTCCACATTCCTCAAAACCTCCCAATTAGAGGCCTTGCTGTCAGATGTAGTTTATTGCCATATGTAGGACATCTCATTTGGCAGTAGGTACCTCACTGCAGAGGTGCAGTTGGCATATTCGAAAGCCCCCGCTGACAGGGTGAACACAAGAGAGACACTCTGAAAATGTCATGAAAAAAAGTTAGAATTTTACTGAAAAATGTACCAATGAAAATCTAATGCTTGATGGTGATGATTCTTAATGTCTGATAGAAAGTCTTACCTGGCCAATGACATTAAATTCTTCCTCCCTTACCTATTTGGCCATTCTGTTTATGATCATGTCTAATTTTGTTTTCTTTTTATTCTGTTCACAGATAATCATCTACCCACTGTAATAATATCAAAAGCCATCAATCAAGATGACTTTGACAAATGAAAAACCTTCCCCTTTTCGATTTTTAAGGATACACGATGTTACAATTTCAAAGATTTGACTGATCTTTGACAATGTCATTTGTGAGAAATAAAAAATAAATTAAATCAAAATGTTAACACTAAAAACAATTTTGTTTCTTGTGTATGTGTGTGCATTTTTTTTTTAATTCCTTTAAGACCAAATGCCATTCCATATGTAACTTCTCAAAATTAAACACATAAACATGTTATTTTGTGAATGAGTTAAATATTTTCTGTAAACAGAATTCTGGTTCTAGAGAGGAATCAAAACTTATTCATAAGCGAAATTAATGATTTTCTGCCATTTGGAACATGGAATATATACATGAGCATTTACAATTGTAAATCTGTTCAATGCTCCATAAATAAAATCTCTTCTCCTCAGATTTTAATGCAATACACGTAAGTTTCATTTATCATCTACTTGGTAAGCACTGTAATGTTACAGTGAACACAAAACAATTATTCCCTCATTAATGAGTTTTTGGGTTTTTTTTTTTTTTTTAAAAGATTATTGTTTTTTTAACCAAACCAAATTTATGAACAAAAGAGGAATTTTTTTTTTTTACAATGATGTTCAAGAGCCACTCGAGGTAAACAGTTATAGAGTAAGAGACACAGTTGATATGGATATATGAAAGAGATTGCAGATTTGAACAATCATCTAGTGAACACAAACAATTGCTCAGTAAACTATTTAAAAATATCAACCAATTACTTAAAATTTAAAAAATAAAAAATTCAATAACATTCTATATTTACATTTGATATCTACTGCCAGTAATATGCACAATATATGTAAACTGTAATTACTAAGAAATTCTACAAAAATTTTAATTGGACTCTTTTCTCCATATATATTGATTTTAAAGTTTTATTTATTCATTATGAAAATTAAATGATAGCATCATAGTAACAGGTATGGTCCCTTTGTTACCAATTTTTAAACCCAGTCCATCACTGATACGACTGCTGATAATAATATGGATACTACTAAATATTCCACATTATTTGACCATCATGCTACAATGTCTAACATATTTCTATTGAACAGGAGCAAAGGTTTATCTATTGTTTCCTGTTTATGATTGGGTTTCCAGTTCCTTCTAAAGTCTACTTCAATTCTATACTCCTAATGTTTCTACCGAAACTGAAATTTTATTTACTATTTTTTTTTTTCTCAATAGGAGTAGATAGATTCACCTATCATCCAGTTCACACTCCTACCCAGTCTTTTGAACAGAAATTGAGGTTTATCTCTTGATTCCTGTTTAAGATTAGGTTTCTGGATCATTCTAAAATCTTTTTCATTCTCTTTCACTCTCAGTAACACCTTGTATTTTAGAAGCATTATCGCTCTGTTTGGGGTGAATTGATTTTTTTTTAAAAAATCAATAGAAATAAAAGTGAGTATTTTGATTATGAATTTTTAAAAACAAAGACATGATTTTGCATTCATAAGCTAAAGCAATTTCTAATAAAGTAATGGATTTTTTATTTATTAATCCAACAGATTTTATCACTTTAAATTTTTAGTGCATATTCATATTTGAGTAGAACACTCCATTTTTTTTATTAAACAGTGTATTTATTTATTTTTGTCTACTGGCCTGAATATTTGAGAAGTCTTATTAAAGAAAAATATGTGCTCTGCAGCAGGATTTGAACCTGCATCCCTTTGGGCAGAGGTAATCATCATAAGATTCAACATGTGAATATTTAGGCCAGTAGATGAAAATAGAGCATCTATACAAATAAGAGTATCCACTAAACATAATGTTTAAAGAGATATTCATAAGTTGAATAAATGAAAATATCAAAAATTAATAATTTTTCTGTTCTATAACATGCAAGTCACTATAATAATTATTTTCAATTATTCAAATATTTTGTATAATTTTCCTACGCATGTACAAAGTATAATCAGCATTCTCTTTCTTAACAAAAGACTAAATCTAAAACTCAAAAGAATAGTCTGAATTTTTTTTTTTTTGAACTAGTTTGGTTTCCTTACCAGATTCTCTGTGTGAAGAACTGTAGTACACTGGAGCTTCTGTTGTCTCTTCTTTTTCTTTTGACACAATTGATTTGACATGAATTTCTTCAAGTTCATGATGCTTTTGTCTCAAAGACTGGTTTTCTTTCTAAAATTAAAAATATTAATCTATTAGTTACAGAAAAAATAAAAATAAAAAATTTCTGTGAGCAATGACAAAAATATAAACCTGAACAAACCCAATAGAAACAAAAATAATCATTTTGGCTTATATATCATACTGAAATGAAATAAGTCTACAAATTTATACAATCAACCATTTTTTCATTAAATAGACAATAGTAACAAATTTAGGCTTACAGCCATATAATGTTGAAACACCAGAGTTAAGTTAAGCAACACTGAGTCTGGTCATTACCTAGATGGGTGACCGCTAGGGAATACCAGCTGTAAGCTTGATATAAGGATAGTGTAATGGATAATGGCTTGGAATGAGAAATCAAAGAGCTGACTTCAAATTCCAATAAGGTTTGTCACATTCACTTACACACAAATACACTTGGATGATCACAAATTAAAAAGAGACATGATCACCCAAGCATGTCACATCCGCCCCTACCAACATGCATTTGACCAACATGGAAGGGATAACAACCCATTCCTCCATATGAATCTGGGGAAGGCCTACATCCAACAAAGGACCTTCACAGGCTGAGAAGAAATGCTTGATGACATGTAAAAAAAATAAAAAATATCAGAAAAGAGTGCTGAGAATTATATATCTGTCTATATTTCTGAGACAAGGTATTGTAATTATTTACACTATTTACAATGTTCAGACTATTGTCCTCATTTTTGTTGTCATATTCACAACGTTTCAGCTGTTATATGCTCCAGCTTTCTTCAAACTTTTTAAGTGTATTTTTTATCTTTTGATCATAATAAAATATACAGAATAATATAAATTTTGAATTTTTTCTTTAGCTAGTTTGATTTCTTTACCCAATTCTCTGTGTTAAGAACTGCAGTACACTGGAGCTTAGCTTTTGGAATTCCAATCAACGGTAGGTCAGAATGTACAACGGCCAAAAAGTTGTGAATATGACAATAAAGATGAAGACAACAGTCTGAACAGTGTAAATGGGGATTTTACATTGCCAAAAACATTCAACAAAAATTAACAAAAAACTGCATGTTTATAAAATGAATTTCAATAATTTTACCTCATTAGTTTCCCTTTTTAATGGGACAATTATGATTTTTGTTGAATATTTTTGGCAATATAAAATCCCCAGCATTCTCTTTTCATTTTTATTTTTTTGACATGAAAGTTTCTACCACAGAAACAGCTTTCAGAAAGCAAGTGATGTTTTTCATCAGTTTTAATATTCATGGCTAGGACCCACCATGCCACTTACATCAGTGAGAAGTAACTTCCACTTGAACAATTCCTTTTCATGAACCACTGCTCTGTGAAACCAACTCTCAAAAGGATGTTCCTTTGATTACTACAATCTTAACCTGTTGAAATCTAGGGTTAACCGTTATCATCCCCTCCTACCTGTATAAACTACCTCAAGTGGCCCCTAAGCCTTGTACAAGGTGAACCTTACTGTAAAGAAAAAAAAAAAAATCATGAAACATGTTTGTCCTTCTACATGCCACATCCCTTCAGGACATAGGCAACAATATCCACAACTTCCTATCCCTTGTTACCATTAGCAATTTTTTCAATTTTACTAATTTTACTAACCCATCCGCCATCTGCTTGCTGCCTTTCCCTATCTCTCTTGCTCACAATATGCCTTGTTAGGGTTAAGTTTACCAGTCCCTTTCCTCATTATGTGTCCAAGGAATTTCATCTCTCTTCCTGATTCTGAACATAATAAGCATTCTTTTTGTTGCCATTTCCTTTAAGACTTTCTCGTTGCTTACTCACACTGTCCATTGAATCCTCAGTATGATTCTGTAGAACCACATTTCTGCTGCCTCTATTTTTCTCATCACCCATAGGGATATTGTCCTGCATACACTGCCATATAAGAGAATGGATATCCCAGCAATCCAGCCACTCTTTTCTTTGTTTCTAATGACATTTTTCTGTTTTTCAGCACTTTGCTTAGATTTTGAAATGCCTCATTTGCTGGTCCAATGCATGTTTGGATTTCTGTGTCACATTTTCCATCTTCTGTTAAAACACTTCCCAGATATTTAAACTTCCATACTTGCTTCATGATGACATCTCCAATTTGTAACTCACATCTTGGATTTTTCCTTTTGCTGATAACCATACTTCTTGTCTTCTTGCAATTGATGGAAAATTAGTCTGTATAAATTTGTAGACTCTTATATAATATCATCCTGAAATGAAGTAAGTATAATTATTCTGGAGCAATATTCATTAGTTCCACCAGTTTTAACCTTCAGAGCTATGCAATCTACATCCTCATTTCCTTCATATTCCATTAGTAAGGAGGAAGTTCTACACAAACAGCTTCTTCCTATGAACTACTTCTTCGTGGAACTGACACCCAAGATAATGCTTTCCTGACCACTACAATCTTTACCTCTTCAAGTCCAAAGTTAACCATTATTATTCCCACATTTCCTCATAAACTGCACTTCTTACCTCTCAAACAACTTCTTTCAGTAAACCTCTACCTTGAGTGGCTCTTGAGGCTTATACAGGGTGACCATTAGTTAAAAAAAGGTAAACACAATTGTAATTAAATGAAAAGATATTTCTATTTTCATAACTGCTACAACAAATAAAGAAAACTGAAATTGATTTATACTGTAGAATGAACAAAATTCATCTTCTTAGCTAATTGATTAAATAAAATTCTTGTATGATTTTGATGAGAAATATTTCAGTTACCTCCTTTTCTTCCAAGACTCCTCGATATTCTCTGGATATTGAGTTAATTTGCAGTTCTGAACTTTCTGCTCTCTCTTCAAACTCTTTATTGAGTCGCTTAAGCCAATCATTCTGAAATTGGACAAATCATACTATATGACCATATGAATTAAACACACAAAATCTCTCTCTCTCTCTCTCTATATATATATATATATATATATATATATATATATATATATGGGACAATGGTATATAATTTTTTGTATATCAAGAACAGTTTTGAAACAAAAGATGTATGACAAACTGTATGCATCACAAAAACCCATTTCCATATATATATATATATATATATATATATATATATATATATATATATATATATATATATAACAAGAAAATATAGTTTTAAGGCATCTTACATTTATGGGTTAAAGTGCTCAATATCATGGATAGAGCATAGATAAATATAAAAGTGGACACTAAAGTCAACACCTAACAGTCGAAAGCCCCTAGAATAATTCAAAAGATATAACCATTACTGACCACCAAAATAACCAATAGAATAATACAATAGACTACCCACAATGCATGTATATATAAATAGTCAAGCAAAAATACAACACATACAGCCTGACAATTGCACTTAGCATGAAACAGACTGTTGCCTCTGGGTGTTGACTTCAATGTCTATATATATATATATATATATATATATAGGTAGGTAATGAAATGTTTGGTAATCCCAAGGATGATGTAATCCAGAGAGCTCAATGCAAAAACAGAGTGAACATTAGTTCAATTAAAAAAACAGACAACTTTTAAGGATCCATCAATTATATTTTATTTCCCCAGGAAAGTGATTTTTCCTGGCTCCTCAGATCACATTTCCAAGCATAAAAGAAAATGGTTTAAAATATTTTTTTTTTATACAAGCTTTTGAGGGTTAGTTTTAAGTTGATGTAAGGTGATAGAGAGAGGGGGGAGGAGGATGATAGATATGGTCGAAATTAGAGAAGGAAGGGAGAGATAGGAATAATTTTAAATTATTAAGATATTTAAGAGTATGGGAGATGGGGTAAAGAGAAGACACTTGACCTATTTAATAAGTTATCTCACAGGAAAAGGAAAAGAAAAAGTCAAAGAAAAAAGACAAATAGAAAAAGTGAAGAAAGAGATAAGATATAAAAGAAAGCAAATGGGGAAGCATGGGTGGAAGGAAAAAGGGGAGAAAAAAGAAAAGGAAGAATAAATTAACATATATAGGCATATTGCAGTTAATTTCAAAAATATAGATTAATATAATTTACAGTTAACACTTGACATTATTTTAAAGAATTACAACAAAATAAAATAGAAAAAAATAATATGAATTTAAAATAAAAGAAAAAATATTAATATTGTTAATATTATTAATAAGAACTAAGTTAAAAGTAAAAATTAATATTTAAAATCTAAAATTTAAAATTCAAAACAATTTAAAAATTTCAAATAGTATCAAAAAATATAATATCGAAAAACATATCAAAAAGAAAATTATTAAACATAATAACAAGAATAATGTTGTTTAGTAATGTTGTTTGTTATTCTAATGGAAAATTATGCAAGATAAATGAAAGGTTCACACACACACACATATACATATATTAAGACATTTTATGTTTATACATTCTTTTTATAGATACAAATATTTAAGTAAATGCTGTTTATAATAAACAGTATTAAACATTTACCAGCCTGAATGTCCAAGAAATTTTCATAGAAAATATTCTTCCTTCGACAGGATTCGAACCTGTATCCTATATGGAACTGTCATATAGCCTGACGTGCCTTTTAACCGATTCGGTCACAGATGATCGTTTGGTTAGCAAGGTCAAATTTACTGCTTTTAAACTTCAATCATCCATGAATCTCTCACATACATTCATATCTGCTCATGGCTTATCAAATGTAAACAAATGACGTCACACATTATAAAATGGACAAAGTCCGACAATTATTCCGGCCAGTAAATGTTGTTTAATACTGTTTATTATAAACAGAACATTTACTTAAATATTTGTATCTAAAAAAAGAATGTATAAACATAAAATGTCTTAAAATAATTGTCGGACTTTGTCCATTTCATAATATTTTTAAAAATATTGGTTTTTACTGTTGTTTTTCTTTTGCAAAAGTCAATAGACACACTTAACAATGGACTCAATATTCAAGTATTTTATAATCAAGTATTTCATCTGTAGTTTTACAAATGTGTACATATCTTAAAGACATTGAGGACACAAAATTAACAAGGATTTCTATCAATACAAAAAATTGTAAGACTCCAGGGTTATAATTCATTGACATATTAATGAACAAAGAATGTATCTTTCTTGAATGGGAATAAAGGTCAAAGAATGGGGCTATTTTATAAAGAAAAAAAATGCTGAGTTAATACCAAATTATCTTGTTTGATTAATGAAATTATTCAAACAAAATTTGATATTAAAGAAAAATCTTTTTCTCACAGATTTTTAGACCTTCCAAATTTTCTCCCAGGTTCCTCATAAGTAAAAAAGGTGAAATCTCACAAGCAACAATGGATCTTTTTTCAGGTTTTCACTAAATGAATTCACAAACAGTTTAGTTTTCTTAAATAAAACAATATTTGAGAGTAACTATTAGTAGTTTCCAACACAAACGTTTTATGCATAAAATTTAGTTATACATACTTCAGATTTCTGTGCTGCAACCACAGCTTCTAATTCTCGGATTTTTCCTTGTGCAAGATGCAATTCAGTAGCATGATCTGAAAAAATAAAAAATGTATCAAATAGAAATGGAGTTTAATAAAAGGATAAAGCACCAATTTTTCATATCTATGATTACAATGTTTCAAACACCAGCCTCTCTTATCAAGGTTACAGGGCAATTCAAACATTACCCTCTCTTCATAATGATATATGTGACTTGCATTAGGTGTAAAAAACATAAGCCTAGATAATTTTTTTTCTCAGAAAAACAATTTCAAGAAAATATTATCTTTAATGGAAACAGAATATAAAAATTTTAAAATACTGTCACTAAATTAAGATTTTCTAAAGAAAAAATAAAGAGAATGAATAAAAAAATGGTCTATGAAACAGTCACTCTTATTATTTAGTAATTATTGTAATAAAACAAAAAGAAACAACTATGAAAATTTCTGGGATGATGAGTTATTATTTACATGCAGTCTACTGTCTTCATCTTTGTTGTTGTTATCACAACATTTCGGCCATTGTGGTCTCCAGCCTCCATCAGGTTTATGTCAATCTAGGTAACCAAAAGGGAATTCCGAATTGAACCCTTTATTTAATCTATTGGGATAGACTGCTCTCATTCCATTGCTCATGGTGAGGGATATTATCTCATTCTTATTTTAGTACTGCTCAGTTATTGCTCATGCATTTCCACTGAGTCCAACTATAAAAATGCTTGGATCAAAATGGGAATTTTCAAAAAGAATCTGAATCATCTCTGAGGAGTGGGGGTGAACAAATACTTAAACAATTCCCCTGATTCTTTAAAAAAAAAATTTTCTTTATAACACACTGTCATATAGGAATTAAAGTTTCACTGCTGACACTTGGGTTTGAACACGGATCGCCAGAGAGCAAGCACAGTCGACTTCATCTTGAAATAATTAGATCAGGTGACAAATAAAGGAAAAATATATATATATGGGAATTAACAGCATCTGACCGAGTATTGTTTAAAGGCGTTACTATTGTTGTATCCGTGATTTACAAAGTCTCTCCTACAAACAGGCATTACAAAACAAACACACACACACAAAAATGCCCAGAATAGTTGATTTTATTTTCAAAGTCACTTGATATTTTCCAAGGTTTAACATCATAAACTAGTTCTCAATCTGAACAGAATAAATGTCACTTTAGTATCAAGTGACAATCAATTCTACCTCAGACCCAATTTTACAAGAAACAATTTTTAAATCTACCTATATGTCAATTTAAAAAAAAAAAAAAAAAAAAAAATTTATTCATATAATTATTCTCAAACTTAAATTCTATTTCAGTCAGTTATGTGCCATACATGATACACACTTAGGTGATCATGTATCTTTCAATACATGACTGACAAAGCAGATGTTTTTCTGCAGTAGGTTGCCATTTCTTTCTGTGGTAAACCAGTTGCCATCCAAGGCTATAGAACCTGGTCTGTCCTGCTATTTACCCATAGCTGGGGGGAGAAGAAGAGGATTCATACCTTTCCCGAGAGTATTAGTGACTGTAATGGATTCGAGTGGAATTCAAACTCGGCTCTCGGATTCCTCAAGACACTATCCATTACTCCACCGTCTATTTACATATTTTTTAAAGACATAACTAGTGATCTTATTTAAATTATTGATGATTCTATTTAAATATGATCATCACTCTAACAATTGATGATCATATTTAAATTCTTTTTAAAAATATTCAGTTTTGCATGATTTAACAGAAAATTATGAAATTTCTAAAACATACATCACAATAAATAAAAAAAAACTGTTCCAAGATAATAATTAACAAAGGTATTTAAGAAAGAATAATGCTTCATAATAAACTGACACTATTTCATAAAAAATAAAATAAACTAATTGTTATATTCCATGCTAATAAGAATATATACTTGACAAACACAGTGAATAAAATAAAGGTAACAGTTATGCACAAGGTCATCGCAAGTCAATTAAGTAGTGAGTGTGACTATTGAAAGGTCAATAGTTCTCGTATAAGTCTGAGTCGTACTCAACAGATCCCAGCTAGGATATTTAGCTACCCCACCACGACAGTTGCATGTGGCACAAGGCCAGTTTAATGTGGGTTCTCCGAGCCCGTAGGCTCAGCCAAAAATATTCCCTTTTGAACCCGTATAAACTGGTTCAGGGTCAGTCTACCTCCCCGAACAAGACTCTGCCCTTTCGGCGGAGCCGCGTCCAGGTTCCTCTCTACTCAGAGGCAGAGAGTTCGACTGTTTAGCTGGAACAGATCACAGCTAGTGAGATTTACCCCCGACCCCCATGAGGGTTACATATGGCACAAGGCCGGGTTAAACGTGGGATCTCTGAGCCCGTATGCTCGTCCAAAAATATTCCCTATTTGAATGCGTATAAACAGGTTCAGGGTCAGTCTACCTCTCCGAACAAGACTCTGCCCTTTGGCAGAGCCTCATCCGGGTTCCTCTCTGCTCAGAGGCAGATAGTTTGACTGCTTAGCTGGAACAGGTTGCAGCTAGTGTCTGTTGACTTACAGATACTTATAGGTAGTTACTACCGATAGTGTAGTCATTCATAGGGGTGACAGTTTATTCCATTACATCACTAATAATAGTAAATATAAAAATGTACAAAACTTAATTTCTAAATTGTAAACATTACACAAATCTTTCTAAAAACCAAAAAGTAAGCAATAAGATCACAGTGCATCAAATTTTTAAGGACTAAAAATCTGCCTGATTTTATTTCAGGCAAATTATTTTCTCACAAGGGTTTTAATAAGAAAATTATCACTTCTGCAAACATACAATTCTTAAAAAATATACATTTTACCAAAACCCCCTCCACTCATGCTGAAAAATCCTTGGAATTAAAGGATTAGTATATTAAAAAATGCAAAACCTTACAACAATCATAGCAACATTTGTCAACAAGAAAAATTAGCTGTAACATTTCCAGAAAAACCTTTTGAACCAGAGATAAAAAAATTATGACCCATTGTATACATACTAAGAAGTTCCATTTGAGTTCATTTGAAATGGTATAAAAAGAACAATTAATCCCCCACCAATGTTTTCAATATACTTGATTTCCCCTCTTCCACACTTCACATCATGTGCTTATTCATTCATTTTTTTAAAAATATAGTTTTTTTTTTTTTTTAAAAAATACTGTTAGGAAATCAATAGACTGAAATTGCCTTAAGATACCAAAAGGTTGAAACTGAGGTAGTGGAATTGGCTGATTTCTTAATTTTATATATATATATATATATATATATATGAGAAAAAGAGAGAGGATGATTCAGATAAAATCTTTAATATGAATGCTTCTAACTTGACTAGAAATTTATTGAAAGCATATATATATATATATTTATATATATATTTTAATGGATATTTGGGCAGTAATCTTTCTTTTAAAATCTTTCATTAAATACGTCAGACAAGGAAGATTTAATTAATTTTTTTATTTAGTTTTTCCAGCATCCCTATGTTTCTCCATTTTATAGGAATCAGGGAGTACAGAAATTTTCCATAATTTTCATTGTCCCAAGCACTTTCAGCCACTTCTTTTCATTTTCAAGGAGGTTTTGTTTTGGTATTGTTAGTTTTTCCTCATATTTTGACAGTTTAAGTTGTATTTTATTTTTGTATTGTTTTGAATAGGAGCATTCATTCCGAGCCTTCAGGTGTTGAACACAGCTGGTATTCATGTGAGCGTTTTTCTATTTTTAAAAAACTTTTAACCCTCCATTTATTTCCACTGTTCAATAAGGTGAGGAGGATAGTAGGGAAGAGATGTTTGATATACAGGACCTCTCTAATAGTGAGATGATTCTGGTAATCTGATTTATATAGAATTTTAGTGTTTTCGACCAGAATTTTTCTTGAGGGTTCTTCTAAATTGTGGATTGATAGATCTTTATTATAGCACTTTGATCAGGCATCTACTCAAGGAGGTGGTAGTATGTCCAATATAGGTAATATTTGTACTGAGCAATGAAATTGATGCACTATATCAGTCATCGCTAGTTTAGATTTGATGGGGTTATTTTGATATATTTATATATATTTTACACTGAATTCTTTTTTAAAGGTTTTTACTAAATTTAATAACAAATTGTGAGGGAATATAATTTTTCTTATAAAACTTCAAAATCCATGCAATTATAAACCACAAGCAGGTAGCAAATAACTAAACAAAAAACAAAATTAATGTCATGGTATTTAGTGTTGAGCAAATATATGATTTTGTTTGTTATTTAATAAGCAAGAAAAAAACAATCTGGTTTGTTACAGCATTTGAGTTGTACTGAAAGTTTTTCAGGCTCATACTGTTCTCAAACTTGAGTTGCAGTACAGCTTGACAGAATAGAAAACACAACAATAAAAAATACATTACAGTTTCTTTTTATAACTTAAACTAGAAAACAATGCATTCAGAAGAAAAAAAGTATAATCCATTTATCTGATTTCTAAAAATCTTCTGACAACAAAAGAATGAGTGTGTTTCATTTGATTAAAACTGAAAACTTTGAATGCCAGGCCATTTGAGGAAAATGATAACACAGATGACTCTTTTTCTCCAAAATAAGGTCACAATATACACTGAAAAACTGACTACTGTATATATTGATACACTGAATGGTACAAGTACAAAACAAGTGGTGGTTGTATGTCAATAATAAAATATCTCCAACCAGTTTAAAAAAGAAACAGTTTTCAATCTCAATATAATTTAAACACTGGCATTTATTAATTTCATCTCCTTTATACTTGTTAAGACAAAAGGAGCAAAAACAGTAGGGAAAAAATTAAGTGGTAAAACTAAAAAAAAAACCTATTTGAGAACTACAAAGTTTGTTCAAAATTATTTGTCTATTTTGAATATCGTATGAATTTGTTGCACAACATGAATATAATTTGGTAATCAAGTCAAGGGAACCTTACTGTACATGCATAAAAACACCATTGAGAAAGTTTTCTGGTATGATTCAGATAAAAACTTTGATATGGACGCTTCTAACTTGGCTAGGGATCTAT